GACCGCCGATTAGTGGGGTCCGCAAGAGACTAGAGGACAGGCCCCCTCGAGTAACGAGGGTGAATGAGACAGGCGACGTAGTGATGGGAGATACAGGGCAATCTGCCCTGAACAAACGCGGGGACGCGCACACGGAAGGGATAGGAGTTGGGCCGATGAGCGACAACCGGGGAGCGGGGCCTAGAGGCGACCGGGACCTGGAGAGCTCGCCGCCCCCGATAGACTACCCAGCCGATGGCGAGGCATGGACAGAGGCGAGAACGAAGAGGGCACAGAAAAGGTTGAGGAAAAGGGAGAGGGCAAGAGCGGCCCCTGGCGCGAGTGCCGAGGTGTGGGGCGGGTGAGCTGTTTTGCCCCCGCCTCCCATAGGGGGCGCTACTGCCGGAGTACGTCGGGTCGGCAAGGCGAAAAACGCGACGGGAACGAGTGCGCGTGGCGGGGCACCGAGAGGCCCTGCCTCCGCGAGTGCCGCGATACGCCCTCGTGCGAGGGACTCTGGAGACGTGGCGCGGCGGCCTCCCCCGAATAAGAATAAGGACAGCAAATTTCGGGCGCCAAGAACGGCAGCGGTCCTAATAAAATGCGGCGAGAGCAAGGACAGGCCGGGCGGTGTGACGTATGCTGAGGTCATGAGACTTGCCAGGAGCAAGATCTCACTGGATGACCTCAGCATAACAAACACGCGCATTAGAAAGGCGCAAGCCGGAGGTCTCCTGATCGAGATCCCAGGAGGGGATGAAGCTGGGACTAAAGCGGAGGCCCTAGTGGACAGAATTAAGGGTGTTCTCGCTGAGAGTGAGTATAGAGAGGAGGTGACGGTTGTCAGTCCGATGCGGGCTGAGTTGAGGCTCGTTGACATCGACCAATCTGTCACCACAGAAGAAGTGGCCGAGGCAGTCGCGAGAAGTGGACAGGCGCAACTAGTAGACGTTAGGGTCGGCCCCCTCAGGCCCGGGAGGGGGGGACTGAACGCCGTATGGGTGCAGTGCCCCCTGGCTTGCGCCAACAAACTTTTAGGTGACGGGCGCCTTAGGGTGGGATGGACAATGGCCGGAGTGGTGCCCCTGGCAAAGCGGAGGCTGCAATGCTTCCGCTGCTTTGCTGTGGGGCACACCAGAGCCAATTGTTTGAGCCAGGTGGATCGCACCGCCTGGTGCTTCCAGTGCGGCGGTAGTGACGGACACAAAGCCGCTGGATGTCGAAAACCCCCGAAGTACCCGGTGTGTGCGGGGAGGGGGTTGCCTTCGGGGCATCGAGCGGGCGCGAGTGAGTGCGTGCCATTAGTGGACCGGGACAGAGGGTTAGTGAAGTGGGCACGAATGTGACCCCCGCGGTGGAACGAGTTAACGGAGCTGATCGGGGAGCTCCGGCCCCTAGCGAGGAGACACACGATGCGGAGGCCATGGAGACCTGCAATGGCTAGGCTGGCACAAATCAATGTGAACAGATCTGGACCATCGCAGGATGGTCGCAAAGGTGAGCAGCGAGCTGGGGCTGGGACTGATCGCCATCTCGGAGCCCAACAGGGTTCCAGATGACGGACGTTGGTTGGCGTCGACGGATAGCCCGCCCTCAGCCGCTATAACGTGGCAATGACGCAGGCCAGGGTGCCATGCTCGCCCCTCTGGAGAGGGAAAAGATTCGCGGCCGTGGACTGGGGGGATACCGTGGTAGTGTCGTGCTACTTTCCCCCCAGCCTGAGTGACGACGAATTTATGAGATTTGCGGGAACTGGAACTGAAACTAGTGGACACGGTGGGACGCCTTGTCATCGTCGCGGGTGACTTTAACGCCCGGGCTCTCGCGTGGGACAGGGGCGGACGAAACAGGAGGGGCGACCTCCTGTTGGAGTGGCTTGCTACCATGGACTTTCAGGTCATAAATGAGGGAGAAGAGCCAACGTGTGTGCACCCCCGCGGAGTCTCACGAGTGGACCTGACGGTGGCCTCGCCCGCGGCTGCCAGAAGAATCACCGGATGGAGGGTCGCGACGGAGATAGAATCTCTATCCGACCACCGATACGTGGTCATTGAGGTGGGGGCCTCGATCATCGGCCCGGAGACCGGGAGAGCGGCCCTTCGGACCTTCCCAAGATGGGTGGCCAGCAGGGCGGATTCCTACCTGATGGAGGCGGCGGCGGTCTTTTCGACGTGGAATGAGATCCCGG